TCTCCACATCAAGGCTACATAAAATAGCGTGACCGGAAAAAACATTCCAAAATTCATCAGAGACAATAATGACTTTAAAAGTGGTAATGTTTATAGAAAGAATAGGAATCCAAGAAGGAGTTTCTCTGAACCAATATCAACGTCAGAATATGAGACGAGTGGTTCAGACTCAGATTCCTCTAAAGCGAGTACGTCTGCCTCATCAGAACGCAATTCAAAAAGTATATTAAAAAGAGGGGTCTCTTTTTTAGGCCAACCCAATATGGAAGAAAGTACAGCCCCACGGACAAGGTACAGAGGCAGACCACCCCAACACTTCAGGGGAAGAAAAAGATATTAGATAAGACAACTGTAAATAACCAGATCATCAATTTGTCCTCATACACTCCGACTCAAGCAGAGTTGCAGGTTTTACAGCGGGGTATGTCCTTTGTCCCAGTCTCAGACTTCGATAAGTTTAGCTGGACAAAGGACATACACCTGTTTGCTAGAAAACTGGCTCTGCATAAATTTCACTATATGAAAGAGGAAAAAAGGGCAAAAGATCTTGGTTTACAAGTCTCAGATATGGGTGCACTTGATACGCTGGTTGACCTCCTTATTGCGAATGACGAATCCGAAGTAAGATATCCCCCTTTACACATCTAAAAAAGAAAAGCATGTTCACTCCACACTTAGTGGATTTTAAATATATAGACCTATTTGTGGAGATGACATGCAATGAAATTGAAAAAATCAACTTAAAAGACCTTCCAATCCAACCTAATAGCAACATCTCTCCTCAAGAAAATATCTCTCTTAAAAAACTTAAAGAACTGGATGAGGTTATTTTTAAACCCTCCGATAAAGGGGGCAATACAGTCATTCTAAACAAACCTGATTATGTCTCAATGGTACAAAGACTAATTGGGGATAGCAATACGTATGAAGTTCTAAAGGGTGACCCCACTAAAAAATACTTGGCAGAGTTGAAAATAATCCTTGATACAGCTTTATCTCAACTTCTAATTTCCAGGGATGAATATAATTTTATGTTTGTCAAGAATCCCGTCACTGCCACCTTCTATGCACTCCCAAAGGTACACAAACAACAACCGGTACTAAATGGGAGACCCATAGTCTCTGGTAGAGGTAATCTGACTCAAAACATCAGTCTTTATGTGGATCAGATCCTGAGGAAACTAGTCACTCAACTTCCTTCATATCTTAAAGACACGAAACACACATTAAGTATCATCGAAGGAACAAAAATTAGTGGTCACGCTATTTTATGTAGCCTTGATGTGGAGAGCCTGTACAGCTCGATTCCACATGAAGTTGGACTAGAACATCTGAAAGCTAGCTTGGACAGTAAACCAGTAATATCACTAAGACACAATAAATTCGTCCAAGATCTGATGCAATTTATCTTAACACACAATCACTTTACCTTTCAGGGAAAGTATTATCACCAGGTGAGAGGGACTGCGATGGGGACGGCTTGTGCCCCATCATATGCCAACCTCCACCTGGGGTGGTGGGAGTCTCAAATGGTATTCACGGATCATATGGTAAAATATACAAAGCATATAAAAATCTGGAAAAGATACATCGATGACGTGTTTATCATTTGGACAGATACCTCGGAACTGTTTTTGGACTTCGTCCACACTCTCAACTCCAACAATATTAATCTCAAACTGACTAGTGAAATTGGTGGCAATAGAATTAATTTTCTGGACCTCACCATCTCGCTGACAGAAGAAGGGTGCCTCATCTCAACTCTGTTCCGTAAACCAACGGCAACTAATAACTTGCTGAATTGGTCTAGCCATCATCCCCCTTCCCTAAAGAAAGGGATTCCAACTGGACAATACTTGCGCCTTAGACGCAATTGCTCTACATTGGATGATTTTAAACTAAAGGCTAAGACCTTACAACTCCAATTCAAACAAAAGGGGTACCCGAATAGATGCTTAAAGCACGCTTATAAACGGGCCTTACTGTCAGATCGGAAAGACCTTCTAATCGAACATAACCCAGAGCCATCACAGGCAGTCATAAGATGTATAGGGAATTTTGATGCCGGCTGGCATCAAATGATGCAAATCTTGGACAGATTCTGGCCCCTTTTACAACAAGACCCACACTTACGGAAGGTAATCACACATAAGGCTTCAGTAACAGCAAGAAGGGGACGCAACATCAAGGACATGTTGGTCCCTAGCCATCTCAAGACTACACCCCAGAAAACATCATGGCTGAAGTCCCCAGTCTTAGGGACCTATCAATGTGGGAAATGTAAGGCATGTAGGTTTATACGTAGACCCTCCAAAACATTCCCAGACTCCCTCGGCACACAGGAATTCAAAGTAAAGAATTTCTTTAACTGTCAGTCCAAAGGGCTTATCTACTTACTTTCCTGTTCGTGCAAAAAACTGTATGTGGGAAAAACCTTTAGGATGTTTAAACTTAGGATACGGGAACATGTCAATTCGGTAAACCCCACAAGACAAATCGACACCCCTATCTCTAAACATTTGAAACTACATCATGGGGGCTCATCTGAAGGAATCAGATTTAGTGGTATTGAAAGGGTTACCTTGGGACCAAGAGGGGGGGATTTAGACAAGAAGCTACTCCAAAGGGAGAGCTTCTGGATCTATAAGCTCAAAACCCTGTCACCCTTGGGACTTAACGAAGGTTTCTCATATACACCATTTATTGCAGATCACTGATACCAGGTGTGGGACTCAGACCTATATACGGGCAGTGGTACTCGGCGGGTGATCTCTGCACTAATCTATTCTGAGTGAGCCTTATGGCCTGATACACTTGTAAATTTGTAAATATAGCGCGGTTTGTTCCACAATGGGTATATTCTTTGCTTATTACTATTACTACTATTATCACTATTCTTTTCTATTTATTATTATTTTTTATATTATTTTTTATCATATAAATTTATTCTCATGATTACCGGATGAGGACCACTAAATTGCTAATGCTTGAATTCTCCCAAGGAAATAGCTATATAATGACTATAATACCAATAATGTTCCTAGACCAAGCTTGCTGAGCACTTGAATGAAAATATCAATGGCCATACCAGTCTGAAAATGCCTGATCTCGTCAGATCTCAGAACCATCCAGACTTGGGCCTGGCTAGTACTTGTATGGGAGACCAACTAGGAACCTCAGGTGCCATAAGTTTAAAGACCTCTTGACAAAAAGAATGCTAGCCTTATTATTATTATTTTTATTTTACGGACTAAGTCATATCTGGTCATTCAGAGGTTCATATTGTCAAGTGACTCAGTGTACAGGATATAGCGGCAGGATGTACCATGCTAATTTTGCATCCTAGCATGGGTCCTATGAACACTAAATATATTTATTATCATATATCCTTGCCTGGGACGGGGGAGTGGGAGTTAACAACATCCCAGGACCCCTTATCATTCAATTTTTCTCTTATTATTGGGGTGTCCTCTCATATTCTTTACTACATCTTTAATAGATTCAGTATTAGAATAATATGTAATCAGCACTGCCTTATATTTTCAGCTGATTCTGTACATCCTATATAGTACACATTGGTACTTTGGAATGATACATTATCAATATGCAGCTTATCAATTTGAGCCTTAATTTGGACAATTTCGGTTTCTCCATACACAGAGAATACCTAGCTCCGCCCATCTGTCACAGGGGATCAACCCATGTGAGGATGATGGACAGGAGAGGCTCGGATGGGCGGTACTGCAGCACTATGATGAATGAGCCACGCCCCGTTAGGAGAATGCCGGATACGTCACGTGACGCATGACATCACAGGTCACGTGACCGGCTGAGGGATTTCCCCTTCATACAGATGAATGAGCATTAGCAATCACAGAGGAATAGCCAGGATATTAGAGGCAGCTGGGGAGGTATACACCCCCACACTCCATTGGCTACAAGGTAATCATGCTTCCTGGCAATTGGGGTATTTAAGAGGCTTCTCTTCAGTTATCTGTTGGCCCCTGACGAAGGTGCATCTCTCTGCACCGAAACGTACGTTGGGCGTTTTTTCTGCACTGGGCACTGGTGTTTGGAGCACCATGATCACCATTTAATTTAACTTTATTTTATATCGTTTTCTTCTTTTCTTTCCTATGCCTATCTAGCTAGCTTTACAGGGAGAGAGGCTTTATTAATGCTAATTATCAGTCTGTTTTGACTGATTTTTTTACTTCTATTTTCAGTCCTTATCTCTCTCTGTTTTTCTTAATATGTTTCTAGTGTGACCAGGATACTTCCTAGGATGCATGGATTATAGAGACTTAGCTACTGTATACTCCTATCCCTATAGCAGATCACAATAAAGCTTAATTATAAGGGGGAGTGAGGTTATCTTTTTACTACCTCTTGATCTATACTACCCTGGGCTGGCATAGGATTGTAGGTTCACTTGTATATACTTTGTTTAATTAGGGTCTCTGACCATATTATTTCTAATAGCCAGGTTCTATATTTGGAACATCGCGCTATACATAGATATATTTTTTCCAGTCAATGCAGTAAGTTTCATTCATATAATTGAGACGGTCTGCATATTTCTTTGTTCTTGTGTATATACACAATCAATCTCAAATTCTGTTTACCCAAGAATATGTATCCGGCTGTTGTCCAATGGGCTCATGGACCAGCACATTTGTCAAAACATCTCATGAACTCTTTGATTGACAAGTATTTCGAAGCACCTGGGATCAGTGGCGGATCCAGAGCCTGATCTCGGGAGGGGCACTTGTAGATTATTTAAAGAAATAATCCAGACACAATAACTACTACAGCTCAGTGTAGTGGTTATGGTGTCAATAGTGCCGGGACCCCCTCCTAGAGTAAGTAGTCAAACCGTTTAAGAACAGTTTGACAACTTACCTGAGGTCTGCTGGGAAATGGGGCGGTAGTAGGGCATAAGAGCAGTGGTGTGTGTGTGGTGCAATGTGTAAGGGGTGCAGTGTGTGTGTGTGTGTGAGGGGGACAGTGTGTGAGCAGTGTGTGTGTGTGTGTGTGAAGGTTGTAGTGTGTGAGTAGGGGGGGCAGTGTATGTCAGGGATGCAGTGTATGTGTGGGACAGTATGTGTGTGTAACAGTTGCAGTGTGTGTGTGAATGTGGGCAATGTGTGTGTATGGGGCGGCAGTGTATGGGGGCAGTGTGTGTGTATGCGGGGCAGTATGTGTGTATGAGGGCAGTATGTGTATGGGGGGGCAGTATGTGTGTATGGGGGGGCACCATGGGGGGCAGTATGTGTGTATGGGGGGGCAGCATGGGGGCAGTATGTGTGTATGGGGGGGCAGCATGGGGGGGCAATATGGGGGCTATGTGTGTGTGTGTGTTAAGGGTAGGGGGGGATTTTTTAAAATAATATATATCTTTATTTAATTAAAAAAATATATATATTCTATGTCCCCCCTCCCTTCTTACCTTTATGGAGGAGGAGGGGGGACATATTTTCATCCCTGGTGGTCCCAGTGGTGATTCCCTGGTGGTCCCAGTGGTTACAGTGAACTCTAGCCCGCGCTCCCGGGCTAGAGTTCACTCTCGCGAGATTTGGAGCGTTGCCAACGCTCCAAATCTCGCGAGAGGAGGACCCGGAGGAGCTGCAGACTGAGCTCCCGGGTCCTCCCTCTCACTCCCTCCCTCCCCTGCCGGCTGTCAGCACAGTGCCTGCGGACCGGGGAGGGAGATCTCCGATCTCCCCTCCGGTCCGCAGGCACATTGCAGGGCTAGCACCTGCATGTCCTGGCAGGGGAGAGGGAGACCGGCGGATTTCTCGGGGGGGGCAATTGCCCTGTTGCCCCCCCCCTGGATCCGCCAGTGCCTGGGATCACCACCTTAACTTGAAATTACTGCCGATCCTGCATTATCTGTGCTAAATGTAACCCAGGGAAAATAATCAAGGCTGCACCGAATCATTTGGCCAAACCACAGTACCCCTTTCAAAGAATCCAAATCCGAAGATCGTCCGTGACGAGTACGCACTAATTATAGTGGATATGTTTTCAGGATGGCCAGAAACTTTTCCAGTTGCCAACCTCACTGCAAAAACTACAGCTAAACACCTACTCACCGAAATTATCTGCAGATATGGAGTCCCCGATTGAAAGTGACCAAGGAACATCTTTCACCGCGTTATTGACTAGAGAAATCTGGACAGCACTGGGGGTGACCCTTGCTTTCCACACACCCTATCACCCACAGAGTAGTGGTAAGGTAGAACGCATGAATGGCACTCTGAAAAGCCACAATGCTTAAAATGTCACAGGAAACTAACTTGCCCTGGCAGGAGAGTCTCCCCATAGCACTCTTTAGTGTAAGGTATACCCCAAGAGGGAAGTTTAACCTATCCCCTACGAGATTTTGTTTGGGACAGCACCCAGGTTAGACTGTTACTTTCCACAACAACTCCAACTCCAGTCAGATGCAATGGTAGATTATATAACTGCACTCTCTCATGCCTTGACCAAAATCCATGCACAGGTGTTTTCTTCTATTCCAGATCCAGAATCCAACACAGGCACGCACAAGTTACTTCCCGGTGATTGGGTTATGGTCAAGAAATTCCTAAGAAAGCATACTCTTGAGCCAAGGTTCGATAGTCCATACCAAGTACTACTGACTACAGCTACCTCTGTAAAGTTGGCTGGGAAGAACACTTGGATACACACTTCACACTGTAAGAATGTTCCTGATCCAGAAGAAGCGGATCCCACCCCAACATAAGCCTTTTTATTTTATGTCTGCTGCTAGGCCTCCTAGAGGCCCAACAAGTTGCTATAACCAAAGATAATCATGTTTACACATTTTGGTACAACTCTTCCAACACACAAGTGGCTACATTTACTTTTGATTACTGTGATATTGTTACTTGTACTTTCCCACAATCACAACACTCAGCAATATACAAAGACATACCAAGAGAGAAGGACACATACATCTGTGTGACGGGCGGTCATTGGGGACATCACTGTAGTTCATGGAAAGCAGCGGGTTGGAACACGGGCCGACCATGGGGTTACAAACCACAGAGTGCCTTAGACCGAGTTGACAGACATGGGAAACCTTTGTTATACCGAATGACCTTGCGTAAACCAGCAGGGTCTACTCCAATAAAATTAACCTTAAACATAGAACATCCCAGCTCAGGTGACCCTGGGGAATACGTAATGGGAATGTACTGGAAAGGAGGTGGCTCATACAACAAGTTGGGAACATTTTATTTGCAAGACATGCTTACATCACCCGACTGGGTAGGGTCAATACACATGAAAGTAAATCCCCTGAAACCACACATCAAGACTCTTAAGGACATGGTGGCTATTGCTAATCCCACATTTGAAGACACTATGGCTGTGGAGACTGTTTTTTCAGATACTAACCTATGGCTTGAATGGATGAGGTATAATGCCGTGTCCTCATAGTAACTCATACCTAGAGCATTTACTGGACACACACTGAGACTTCATACCAATTCATACATTAGAGCATATAGTGGAAACATACCAATGCTGTACCACCACCAGTTCATGTACAGATACTGAGGCCCAGTGGTCTCCTGTGCAGTATATTCTTCCACTGTCTGCAAAGCCTGCTTATTTGTGATAATGCACAGATAACAGCAATCAATGCCACATACCTTGATAGAAACAAGTGTGTGTGTGTGTGGACTTTATGTTTTTAAAACCTGTCATATACATGTGTGTACCTTAATCAGACACCCAAGAAGGTTCTCTTACCTTGGATATTTCTCTGTCTTAAGGCTGTGGAATTCCAGCAGACTTTATACAGCCAGGATATTCATTATTAGCACTCTTTTTCACAGTGTCTCATTGCATTATCAGCACTTCTTTGCACAATGCAATCCTTGCATTATCAGCACTCTTTTTGCATTATCAGCACTACTTTGCCCAATGCATACTTGTATTATCAGCACTCTTTTGCACCAAGCATCCTTTCATGTATAAACTTACCTAAATGCTCACCACACAAATCTCCTAAATGTGACCTATTTTTTAGAAGGAAGCCTAATGTAAGCAGCTGGGAGGGACTGAAAGAACAGAGACCCAGGTGCCTATACTAGTTTTAATCTAAATTACTAATGCACTTACCTGAACCGTTGCAGGCCTGTGTTTCAGCGGCAAAATGGGTATTTGAACAACTGACAGCCTAAACTGTTTAAACTATAGGCTTCCATCTGTACCCCATATGCCATTCATCATCACCATACAAGGTGGAATACATAGAATAGGTATACCCCGGTAGTCACAACTCTGTTGGGCCTCATGTATGCAGTGTACCGCTGTCATCCCCTCAGGGAGAGAGATAGGTTAAACTCCTGATTGCTGAAGGAGGTACCCAGGCTAGAAACTCTTACACATGTGCTGTTTGCTGGGTCTTCAGGGATAAGGGCTTAGACTCAACTGGGCCTCATGTAGGAAGTGGACCGCTGTCATCACTTCTGAGAGAGACAGGACAGACTCCTGGTTGCTGAAGTAGGAACCCAGGCTTGCAACGCTTACCGATATGCTGTTTGCTGGGTCTTCAGGGGTAAGAGGCTGAACCCTGGCCTGGCTTCATGTATCACATAGATCCCCTGAGGGGGTACCCAAGCTGGCCTGTTGCTGGGTCTAAAGGGATAAGAGGCTGAACCCTGGCATGCAGTGGACCATTTTCATCCCTTTCAGGGAGAGGTTGGGTCCGACCCCCGGTCACTAAAGGGGGTACCCAGGCTAGCCACTTCATCTTAGTGCGTTTTGCTGGGTCTTCAGAGCTTAGAGGCTGAATCCTGGCAGGTCCTAAAAAATATTGCCTGGTGAGCATAAAAGAAAAAATCTAAAAATGTATTAACTTTATTTTTTTATTTTACAACTTTTTAAAAAACTTTTTTCACCAGCAGGGGGACTGCCTGTCAGTTCAGGACACATTAGGGTAATTTTTTGCAGAGGGGAGACTGTCTGGGCTGTCAGACAGTCCCTCCAGTGGAGCAGAACACCAATTGCCGGTGGGGGAAAGGCGGCGATCGGGTAAGTACATGGGAATGGTGAGAAGGAGGGAGGGAAGGAAGGGGTTAATTTATTTATTTACTAATTATTATTATTTTTTTTTAAATGTATTATTTCCTTCTTTGTTGCCTGCCTCGACCCCTCAAGGCACTCAGCACAGGCAGAGCATTGGAAGCCTGAAGGTTTCCGATGCTCTGGCTCACTGCCAAGCGCCACGTGGGCAGGGGCGGGCTGGGCCAGGGGGCAAGGAGGCAATTGCCCCCCAGGCCACCTTACATCGTTTGAAAAACGGCCGGTGCAAGGACTGGGCGCCAAGAGGAGGGGGGTTCCGCGCGGAGCAGGCCGATGGCCTGTCACAGGGAGCCCAGCAGGTGGCCAGCTGGCCACCTAGGGCGCCCAGTAGCAAGGCAGAGTAGGCACCTGCTTGTCCCATATGGCAGGTGCCTACTCTGCCTCACTATACCAGAATGGAGTGTGGAAGGAGGGAGGCGGCGGCAAGGGAGCATTGCCTCTGCTGATGATCTTCCTGCTCCCTCGCGCGCCCTCTCTGGTGATGCCGGGAGCCGGAATATGACGTAATTCCGGCCCCGCATCACTAAACTGCACGAAGGAGCAGAAAGATCATCAAAGACACTGGACCCCGGGGAGAGGCCCCAGAGGACTTCTGAAGGTAGGAGCAAAAGAAATAAAATTAATTTGTGTGTGTCTGAAAGTACGTGTGTGTGTGTGTGTGTGTGTGTGTGTGTGTGTCTGGAAGTGTGAGTGTGGGTGTCAGTGAGTGTGTGTCTGGAAGTGAGTGTGTGTGTCAGTGAGTGTGTGTGTGTGTCTGTCTGTCAGTAAGTGAGTGTGTGCCTGGAAGTGTGTGTGTGTCTGTCAGTAAGTGTGTGTGTGTATCTGTCTATCAGTGAGTGTGTGTATGTGTATTTGACTATGAGTGAGTGTGTGTGTGTCTGGAAGTGAGTGTGTGTCTGTCAGGGCCGTCTTTCCGCATGGGCATGCTGGGCAGTTGCCCGTGGCCCCACAGGCATGGGGGCCCTACCATACTGCCCAGCATGCCCGGCTGACAGGGGAGATCCTTTGATCTCCCCTGCCGGCCAATGGAGAGGTGGCCCTGTTTTCTGGCCGTGGGCCCCCTTGGGCCGGTGAGGGAGATCTCCCTTCAACCGGTGAGAGAGGTAACTAGGACCCAGGGCTGCAAGAGAGGCTGACCTGTAAGGCAGATCGCTCCTCCCGCAAGCAGGCTGTGTGGAGCGGTGCCGCACATTACCATGGCAATGCTCCACACAGCATTCTGCGTGCAGGAGGACAGGAGACAGCCTGCAGCCAGCCAGGCTGTACAGAATTCACAACTGGGCCACCACGGCTGGCTGTGTCTCAGCCTCTTTCACCAAAGGTAAGGAGAAGGGTGGGGGGACATATAGATTTTATTTAATGTATAGTAGTATTAAAAAAACAAAAAAAATGTGCTACCTGCTCCCCTCAAACACACACACAGCACCCAACACACATATAGCACTCCACACACACGCAGCACCACACTCACATAGCACTCCACACACACAGCACCCCACATTCACATAGCGCTCCACACACACACAGCAACAAACACATACACTGCACCCCTCACTGCAGTGTGTGTATTCAGCAGTCTGTGTGTGTGTTCAGCGAACTGTGTATGTATTCAGCCGCCTGTGTGTATGTTTGTTTGTGTTTGTATTCAGCGGACTGTGTGTATGCATTCAGCACTCTCTATGTGTAGTCAGCAGTCTGTGTGTGTGTGTGTCTATTCATCAGTCTGTATGCGTGTATTCAGCAGTCGCCGTGTGTATGTATTCAGCAGTCGGTGTGTGACTGTATTCAGCAGTCGGTGTGTGACTGTATTCAGCAGTCAGTGTGTGACTGTATTCAGCAGGCTCCCCCTTGTGGCATCGGTGCTCAGTTAGTGAGTCAGAGCACAGGCTCAGAGATTCTCAGCCTGCGCTCTAGCAACATTGAAAGTTGGAGCCACAAAGATTAGCACAACATCAATATCCGTTATAAAACCAGGAAAAGGTGGGCTGATTCGGGGGTGCAATGGGCCACTTGACTGGATTTGCCCCCCAGACCTGAGGCTGCCAGCCAGTGGCGGATCCAGAGCCTGATCTCGGGAGGGGCACTTGTAGATTATTTAAAGAAATAATCCGGACACAATAACCACTACAGCTCAGTGTAGTGGTTATGGTGTCAATAGTGCCAGGACCCCCTCCTAGAGTAAGTAGTCAAACCGTTTAAGAACAGTTTGACAACTTACCTGAGGTCTGCTGGGAAATTAGGCTGTAGTAGGCCATAGGAGCAGTGGTGTGTGTGAGTGGTGCAATGTGTAAGGGGTGCAGTGTGTGTGTGAAGGTTGTAGTGTGTGAGTAGGGGGGGCAGTGTATGTCAGGGGTGCAGTGTATGTGTGGGACAGTATGTGTGTGACAGTATGTGTGTGTAACAGTTGCAGTGTGTGTGTGTGTGTGTGTGAGTGTGGGCAATGCGTGTGTATGGGGCGGCAGTGTATGGGGCAGTGTGTGTATGGGGGGCAGTATGTGTGTATGAGGGGGCAGTAT